GGTGTGTCCAGTTTCTAATCCACTAAGAAAATGGATAGACTGTTTTGGAAACATAGGTTTTGAGTTTCACTGCCCTGCTGAAACGATTTTAATGAGTAAATTAGAGGTTGAATAAAAACAACAGTGAGCGGCTGCTATCAGTAATAATGTTACCTTTTTGTTTTTTGCTTTATTGCTGAAAAACATTTTTTTCAGTACTATAGCTTTTGAAACACAATAGGCTTGGGTAGAATATCAGTAAGTAAAATCTTCCTAATAAAAACAGTCCCAGGTTATATTTCTTAACAACAGGCATTATAGTTCCACTCCAAGAGTATGTTCCTGGTGATGGCTGTTATCTGTAGTTTCCAGCATGTTTGTCCCTGTAGTTCAAAGAGGTCACTGTGTGCTGTGATATCCACATCCTGTCATACAATAGGATGTGCATGGATAACATTCCAAGCCTGTTAATTATTATTGTTTTTGGGTTGTTTTTTTATGGTTGTGTTTTGTTTCAAAGCAGGGGCGTGTGCAGGGTGGAAAAAGTCAACATTTGCCAACCGTCTGTGCAGAAGCAAAATTAGTTCTTATGTTCACTGATTAACTGGTATATTCCAAGTGTTTTCATTGCACCAAATAGCAATAAACGGAACTGTAGTGATTTAGTGTGCTGTTGTTTTCTTGTTTTTTTGGTGTTTAGTTGGTTTATGCTATGAAAAGATCTATATTTTTCTTGAAGGCCTGCAGGATTGAAAAGAATCTCTGCTTAAATTTGAAATATAAAATAGAATTCCTCTTAATAGGAACAACTAGGAGTAGCAAGGGATGAGTGATGGGAGACTTTGGGCTCTGCTTTGGACATCTGGTGAAGTAATGGAAGGAGGGTGTGGCTCATTATGACATCCAAGGTGTTGTCTCTACAGTCTGGGTGGAGGTCAAATCTAAGCCCCAAGGTTTAGGGCTGAGACTTTTCTCCTTTTGCATGATGTTACTGATTTCACAGCACAGCACATATGTAGGGAGGGAAAGAGCTCCCCAAGGAGACTTGCTGCAGCTGCACCACTCATCCCCCTCTCCAGGCCTCCTCCCCAATCTCCCCAGAGAGGAAACAGGCCTCATCCTCAAATACCATAAGTAAAGGACTCCTGTCCCCGGCTTATACTGTCTGACTGCAACCACTTAATCAGGTATGACAACGTTTGTTTTTACTGCAATTTCCTGCTTTTTCCCCACCCTAAAATCAAAAGCTGGGATGACAATCACAATGGCAGCTGAGAGATTTTTGTTTCATATTTAGTTATTTCCCATAACAGCGACATGGGAAATAAAACTATTCTTATTCTCATATATAGGCAGACATACAGTAGACTTGTGCATTAAAGGAGTCTGTTTATTCAGTACAAGTAAAGTATTGATGATGATGATGATGATGATGATGAATTCAGAACAAGCATTCCAAGTATTGTATGTAGCAGAATCCACTCATGCAGTTTGAGCACTAGATCAACGATTTCAATTTCATCATGGTTGAATTAGAAATTCAAAGGAAGTGCTCAACCTCTGATGCTAAAAAAAAGTGCATTTTTATTATTGTTATGCTCATCATTATTGCTATTGGACTCAATATCTTAACTGCCCTTTAAATGTAGGAAATAGCTAAAAGTAAATCAAGTAAATAAAGTGAAGCAAGCACAGGATAACATAAAAAGTTTAATTTTTGTACTTTTTTATGAGTAGAGAAGCTGCATTCTCAGGAAGAGACCTGAAGCTACCATTAAAATGAACACACAGGAGTAAAATCTGTATTTAATCTTACCTTACCATGGTAGCAACTGCGTTTTAGACAGATTGAACTATCTTCAGAGAACATTACGCTTTGTACATTCTCTAGCTTGTGATTTTGGCACCGTGCTCTTGAAATTATGTTTTTGCATCTGTTAGTGCATACAGCAAGGGAAGACTTTTCCCCAGTGAGGAGGAGCGGTGAAAGAAGGTTGTCTGGCATTAAACAAAACCAAATGTAAAAATGAAAGGTCTGGCTGTCATAGCAAGTTTAGTGCATAAATTGATGATAATGATACGCGGCCTCCTCCCTGCAACATGTAGCTATAGCACCCCTGCACAGACTTGAATCTTCTATAGACTGAATACACAAAGCTTTTCTAAAAGTAGTGATTGATGATGTGCAATCCAGGTTGCCAGTTCTGTAATGACCTTTCATGCTGTAATCCATTACTACAAATCCAGTCACTTGTGAAATTCTTGAGAATCTCCCAAGGGATCATCTTGCTTTATTTCTGGGGCTGACATCCACAGTGTTTACAGCGTATCTGACTTTAGGGGTTGCTTACATTCCCCTGCCATTTAAAGTACATGAAGTACAGTTGGATTAAACTTGAGACCAGCATCTCATTACTCCAGCAGCATGTTAAAAACTCTTGTGGTCCTATAAACTATGTAAAGAGAACAAAGCACTTCCTGGGAGATACATGCACATCATGGCAGCAGACAAAGCAGGTGCTTTAAGAGACTCATATTTCTTTTTTTTTCAAAGAAGTTTTACCTTTTGTCTCACTGTCTGTAATTTTAATTTGTCCAACAACAACTACAGTGTACAGCACATCTGATTTAACTTATTATTTAGTTCTTTACATCTGGCTACACACCACATCACCCAGGCTAAAAGGAGGACAGCCAGGCCAGGAAGTCCACTTCATGTAGTCAAGCAGTGATGAGCAAGATTTACTCAATCTTCACCCAAGATTTACTCACAGTCTTGGCCTTATGCTTTCTGAGAGAGACCAAGGATGTGTTTATGCATTTTTTTGTGTTTCCCTGTGTTTGTGTTGAGACTGGAGCGCCTAAGGCTTCTTGTTGAGGCCAGGGGGGCCTTGTTGGAAACATAGGAAGACTTTTCACACAATTGTATAAGCTGTCTCTGTCCACAGTAGTGAGGCACTACTACCTATAACGGTTTGACATATTCCATAATGTTTCAACATGTAAGGATTAATATAATCACCTTTTTCTTGAATTGTGATTTTTTTCATTTATAAAACATAAGAATAAAGGGATTTACAGTGTCTTACAATTCATACAGACTGCTTAGTAAGTGGAATGCTTTAAAATCTTTCACTGATACTGATTGCACTAAGAAATATTTAGAGTCACGAGGTATAAACTAAGGTAAGTCAATTTGGTAGGCTGGCTATTTTTGACATATTAAACACAGCAGATTAAATCATAATTAATCGAATGATCTGATAGCCCAGATTTGTACCCCAATTTACAAATTTAATTGTAGCATATGACCAACTTTGGTCAATATCCAGCCATTTGATGCTGTTGGTGAGAAAGGACACATTGCTGGAGAGAACCTACATGGTCCAATCTAGAGTGGTAGATGCATCATATTGGCCATTCGCTAGCTTCTTGTTTTGGATGAAAACATTTCAAAGTGACCTTGGCACTTCCCCAGAATATGTTCAAATTAGCCATGTTTATAGGATTACAAACACACGCTAAACACTTAAATCTACGTCCCATAAATGTGTGTTGTGTTTCACTAAATAATGATAGTGGTGCACTGAAAACATTTTGCTCTGATTGCAGAATAGTTTTGGTTACACGTAAAATTGTTTACACACTACACTGGGTTTCTTCCATGAGGAGGGGAGTGTTTAGAAGTTCAGGCTGAATTGAATTACACCGCCATCATACAGTAGGCAGGATGATCCCTGATGCTGATTATGTCTCATTTACCCTTCATGACTGTGGCAAAGCTGTGCTACATAGTTATATCTTTTTGCGGCTGTTTTTAAAAAATAAAAGTCAAAGGAGCTTTTTATCGGAGCATTTACGTTTAATAACACTGTCTAGTCTTCAATATATAAAAATACTTGTTAAGATTAATTTTCAGTCATAATATGATTATGATATTAGATTTCCAAAAGAAGTTATTACATAAACAAGATTTCTCCCAGGAGATGGATGTGTGGTGAGGTCACGACCCTTTGAAACTTAGCTGCTCATTTTTATATGATGCAGAGAGTAAAAATTAAGACAACCGTGAGTACTAATTAGCAAGTACCCTTAAGAAAATATGCCAAACTGTTAAATGTTTTTGGGTGGGCTTGAGGCTTAAATCACCAGGAGAAGATGTTCAAACCACCTTTTTAACCTCTATTAGAAACAAACAAAATGGAAAAAAAAACCTCACAGATATTTACATAAAACATCTTTTCTTAAAGGTGATTATATATACATTAGCAGTGTGTTGCAACTGCAAGAAGTACTGCACTGGCATAACTGTGGAAAACCAAGTGTAAGAAGTTTTTGATATTTGATATCTGAGAATTACAGATGATGTGAAGACAAGAGTCAATGCTGGAGATGGAAAAAACTTTATCTTTGGAACCTTAACCTGTATGAATGAACTGAAACAACTAGACGTTAACTACACTCATTTTGTGGGATTTGGTATATTTAATGTAATCATAACTGCAGCAGAGACAGTGGCACACATCATGGAACTAATTATAGTACTTCAGGTAGGACCCGATTGATTTAGTTTGCATCAGAATTTGTAGGCTAATCGTTTAAGATTTGGTACTTGCTCTCATTTGAGACTTCACTATTACTTTTATATAATAAATAAATAAATGTCCTCTTCCCAAGGAATCATAACATTTGGGCTGCACTGCAAGTTTGAAGCAAATCCAACAGAATAGGTTCAAAATAAGGCTTGAACTGTAATGTAAAGCTAGCTAATGTTGCCATAGGAAATGACATTATACTTTGGACCTACAATGCCGAGAAAAAAAACCCTGCTTTGTCTGATTGGCATCAAACTTTATGAGCACTTGCAAGAAATGAAATGACAAAACATATGGGACAAACTGTGTATTTATGCAAGAAGCTTTTTTTTTTTTACCATTTTAATTATAAAGTGTTTAATTTGCAATTCCTTTTTCTCGATGTCTCTGTCTTTCTGTGATTCACCTGCTCTCCCTTCCTTACAGGTGTAGTGATATGTCAAGACCAAACCACCGCCTCTACCAAAACACCAAGTGTCAGTAACGGTAAGAACCTTCAAAAAAATGTATAATGGGATGTGAGAACAGCACTGGATTCCAGAGAATTTCACTATATTTTAGAGATATTATTTTAAAGTGCCAAGTTCCTTCAAAATATATACAGACATGCTTTTGTGACATAAGACATGGTGCCTGACAAAACTTTGTATTTAAACTTTATTTTCAGAGACAAACGAAACCTCCATTGATTCCCTGATTACTTCAATAACCAAAAGTTTGGCTTCCGGTAACGACAGTGCGTTTTGGTTTCTCACGGCAGAACCGCAAATGGATGAAGAAAACACCATCAATGATAATACAATGGTAAATACCGGCCTGTAGCATCATATTTTCTACTTATTAACTAATAGTACCTCTATCACCAATAAATCTAACAGCAAAAATGAAAATTATATATGTTATGCTGCATGTTATATAAATGATGACATTTATTTTTTAAACATGTATTTACAAGGGATGACAAAAGCTGTAGTTATATGTATATGTGCAATATATGTGGAGTATAAGTACAGTGATATGAGAGGAGACAGCGCTAATCCCAGTCACGTCCTGGTGGCATTCCCTCTAACCAAGACCCTTTATCTGGCTCCCTACACCTTGGGCCCCGAGGAAGTGTTTTGTGCTGCTTGGAGGAATCAACTGAATGTGTTTAAAGACCTACAGTTGGAAAAATTGGTCTCATAAAAGTGGATCTTTTCTCAGACATTCCTCAGCAGTTGTAAATCATGAAGCTGTGCTCAATGCTGGAGACAAATGAACTGGAGAGCTAATGTTTCCACTCATGCACTCGAACAGGTGTGGCTCATTTTTTTCACAACTGTTTTTTGCAACAACTTTAATATATTATAGATTTTTTATTTCTTTTTAAGGTTTGTCAAAACAGAAATATCTGACCTACAGAAAGAACTACAGATTTATCTTACTGTGTAATACAATATACTTATCCTCACATTATTAAACTGTAATTGCACATGTATTTTTTGACGAACAACAAAAGAAATTTGATGTTAAATGTTACATCGGAAGTCATCGCTACATTGTGCCATATGTGACTCCAGGTGTGTAGAGACAGCGCAACAAGTCCGTTATATAGGTCATTACTGCAACATCAAGCCAGGACCATCAACTGTCCAACTCAACCTGAAACTAAACATGAAATTCCTAAATAGCTTGATATGACACTGATAACAGAGTCGGTATCAGTGGATCACATTTTATAATATTACAATGGAGGTTATGGGAAATAAGAACACTAAAATCTGTAAATCCAACACATGTTTTTCTCCTTCTATCTTCAGTATCAAATAAATTGTTTATGTTAAAATATGCCGATTCAAATTAAACATCCAACTATGGTCATGTAAGTTCAAGCAAAGCAGGAATGAGATGTAGGATTTGATCAGTCACAAGCAACAGATGGAGAACAGCACAGATTCCCTGGGATTGATTTTGTCATCTGACTTCAGCCTTCCTGAGTTTCTTCCTCTTCTTTTCAAAGCTCTGAGCATTACAGACGAGTCCAGCTGTGAGCCCACTCCCAACTAACTGAGGATTCAAAGTTACAGCTCACAGTGGTCTTCTGGGAATGCTGAAAGCAGTCTGGATCACATTACAGAAGAATAAAAAGTGTTCCCAAGTTACAAAGCCTGAAGTTGTGCAATGATGATATCATTATTCAGGGTTAAAGTGGGTAAAAAAAACGAAGGTGTGGTCAGCAAGTTCACTCAGCTGCATCTTGTCTGTAAGGCACACAAGGCCAGTGTGTAGTCTGAAACACACGTTTGATTGGTGGCCCTGTGCTCAATGTGTATGAATAAAACTATGTACTGAAAAGTGAAAATTGCATTAGGCAATTGCAAAATAGGATATATTTTGTAGGAGATTGCTCCAGCCTAGACAGTGACATATGGAAAAAGTGTACTATTACAGAAACTACTGTCCTTCCACATAACAGCAAGTATGTACTTTTTTGTTTTTCTTACTTTGTGTGAAAACCCTTCATAATATTTTTTTTAATATACTGTATATGAGTTTCTCTCAAAGCTACAGAAGGTGAATTTCAGAAAAAAGTTATTTGTCCATCCATTCTCTTCTGCTTGCCCATCATCATCATCATATTTATTTATTTATTGTTTCCGAATTTCTTTTTTAAACTACTTGCAAATAGACAATCCTCACGCTTCCTTCTTTATTCTATTTATTGAAATAGGACAGCATGGACATTATACACCGGCTACAAATCATATTATAAAAGGCCAACATTTGGCTTCACGTTTAATTTGAACCCTACTCTCCCTGTGAAAGTTCTCTAATTGTAATGCACCACCACAGATACAGACAGCAAAAACTCAGCTATGAGAACTTAACTTGCACTCTCACAACTTGCATCTCATGACTGAGATAAGAACACCTCTTATTTTCTTCTGGACTTTTTTGACCAGAAATGTGTTTTTAACTGTTCCCATATAACTTTTTTTAATCACACATTGTCCTTTTATACTTTTTTTGTAGGTGGGAAGTACTAAAAGTCCATCACCATCATTACATTTATCACCATCATCATCATCATCATCATCATCATCGTCGTCGTCATCATCAAATTCCTCTGTGTTTGTGGGACTACTTGTCAGTGGTCTGCTTGCTGCCCTTGGAATCACTGTGGGTTATTGCTATTGCCAACGCAGGACTGACACCAAGGCAGTGAAGCTGGTAAGAATATTGTACAATATACAGTAGAGTATCTTTCCATTGTGGAACTCACTTATTTATATATTCATGCTGGCACAGGTGTTACTGTAAGCTGTAGTACACCATACCGTGCACCCTGGATTAATTAAAAATCTTTATAACAATTGTAAATTCTGAACAGAAAGACGACTTTATATTATTTCATGTGTGTATTGTGATGGTCAGTTGAAAATTTCTAGTCTTTGTTTGATGAGCTCCTACTTGTGGTCTATTTACAGACAGATGAGACCTATCCAGCAGATCAGGAGAACCAGGGGAGCACTCTTGCTTCTGTAGCCCCCCTCATCCCCACTCCCGAGACCCAGGAGAAACCCAGCGTAAATGGAGAGTCCCCCGAGGCAGCAAAGACCCAACCTCCTCCACCTACCAACGGCCACTCCACCACCAAGACAGCAGACACTGAGCTGTGAAATAGTCCAAAATGAATTGAATCCCAGAAACTACCCATCTATACACACAGACACGTCTGATGAAAACACATCTTTGTTTCAGAATTCACTCCTGCCTAATCACACAGAGGCCACAGAAATGTGGACTTTAGGGACTACAGCAATCCCTTACATAAACACTCCTGTTGTTATATGGTCCTGTTACCTGCTCTTTTAGCTACGTGCCTCAAAAAAAATCAGGAAAACTAGTCTGATGATGACAATAATGGTAGAGATGAATGATGCTGATTAATCACGACGAAGACTCGGTTCCTGGGTTTTGATGGCAGTCAGGAAGGAGAAGAAAGACAGGAGATGGGCAGTTCTGGGTGTGAAAAGACTATAATGTTAGTATTAACCACAGCTTGCTACCATGATGACTGCAGCCTCTGGAGTCACAGCAATGTGCTGTCCACTTCAGCAGAGGCTCTGCCTGTCATCTGGTTTAATGCTCCAGCCAATCATCCAACTGAAAACACAGCTAAAGCACCTAAACAACACGTGTCCTTACATTAATGTAAGACCATAACAGACAGACAGGAACTAACTTACACTGCCTTGAAATCTGTTTACAAGAATACATCTTGTATTCTTAACGTGCGTAGGTGGTTGAAAGTGTGTGTGTGTGTGTGTGTGTGTGTGTGTGTGTGTGTGTGTGTGTGTGTGTGTGTGTGTGTGTGTGTGTGTGTGTGTACTATGACATTTTGCATGAGTGTATTAACTTGCATCTGTACTGTGCATTGACTGTATATATCCATACATGCATCTACGCTTATCCTCCTTATTGTACTGTATGTACATATGTGTGCTTCATGGTCATTTTGATCAGTCATGTCAGTGATCGATAAATCTTAACCGCATGCGACAGCCATGAAAAATGTAGAAATTTGTAAAATGATGGCTAACCAAGTTGTGGACAATCGCCATGGTGAAGCAAAACGAGTATTGACATTTAAGTCACACCATGGCATTAATCACGAAGCCAAAAGGCCTCTTTACTCACTGTTTGACCAACAAACTCACAAGGACTTTAGACACAGAGCCTCCTTATGTCACCTCTGCCCATCTATTTGTTAGTATTATTCTCTGTCCAGTACTGTATATACTTGTTTTTATTCTGTGTATCCATACTTGTATTGTTCATTCTATGTGCCAAGATCTTCATTTTATAACTTTTATTGTGTTTATATACTTCTCCCATCATCATGATATTTTATCTAGGTTATATGACAAAGAAATATATTTAGAAATGAATCAAGTTCAGCATCTAATGGTCCAAATATGCCTTTTTTTAATCCTATAAATACAGGTAACATCAGTTTTCCCTGACATGCCTAATAACAATAACAATAATGATAATAACTTTGAAAACTTTGATATCAAACTGGAATGTCCTGCATTCATTGTTCTTTTGATCCATCTTGTATCGTACCATTATCACATCAATATTTCAGTGTGACTATTTAATTTCACTAGCACTCTGTAGTTAAAATGGGATTTAACATGAAAAAAAAACCTAAATAAATAACACTGTATATGTTTTCCTGTTTTCAGCCTATTTTTTCCCAGAAAAAAAGCGAGTGATTTTGCTTGAGTTTAAAGAGAAGTTGGATTTTTAACTGCTGCCAAGCTCCTTAGACAACTACTGACAAATTGTACACAGACACGTACATACTTACACACATCTGTGGTCTAAAAACACATGGAATTTAAGTCCCATACAGCCCATAAGGTCCACAGCTGGTTTACATTAGCAGTAGTAGTGACATCACTTAACACTGTTTTGTCTTTCACAGTTTGGGTGGGGCAGTAAAAACATCCCCCAGCTGTCTTGTTGAATGGATCAGGACATGCTCAGAGTCAAACGTCAGTTAAAAGTCAAGGCCATCATCATGGTTATACACATTTACTTTAAACATTCATGTTATATTGTTAGTATAGTATTTATAATATTATATTGATGTACAGGGTGGGCCATTTATATGGATACACCGTAATAAAATGGGAATGGTTGGTGATATTAAAGTCCTGTTTGTGGCACATTAGTATATGTGATGGGGCAAACTCCTCAAGATGGGTGGTGACCATGGTGGCCATTTAGAAGTCAGCCATCTTGGATACAACTTTTGTTTTTTCAATAGGAAGAGGGCCATGTGACACATCAAACTTATTGGTAATGTCACAAGAAAAACAATGGTGTGCTTGGTTTCAATGTAACTTTATTCTTTCATGAGTTATTCACAAGTTTCTAACCACTTATAAAATGAGTTCTATGTGCTGCCCATTGTGTTGGATTGTCAATGCAACCCTCTTCTCCCACTCTTCACACACTGATAGCAACACCGCAGGAGAAATGCATCCAGTATCCGTAGTTTCAGGTGCTGCACATCTCGTATCTTCACAATTGCCTTCAGATGACCCCAAAGATAAAAGTCTAAGGGGGTCAGATCAGAAGACCTTGGGGGCCATTCAACTGGCCCACGACGACCAATCCACTTTCTAGGAAACTGTTCATCTAGGAATGCTCGGACCTGGCACCCATAATGTGGTGGTGCACCATCCTGCTGGAAAAACTCAGGGAACATGCTTCAGTGCATAAAGAGGGAAACACATCATCATGTAGCAATTTCAAATATCCAGTGGCCTTGAGGTTTCCATTGATGAAGACTGGACCCACTATCGTTGTACCCCATATACCACACCAAACCAGTTAGTGTCAGACCAATAGCGGTGGTTTTGTTTGTTAACTTCACCATTCACATAAAAGTTTGCCTCATCACTGAACAAAATCTTCTGCGTGAACTGAGGGTCCTGTTCCAATTTTTGTTTTGCCCATTCTGCAAATTCTGGGGCCGATCTGGGTCATCTTCGTTGAGATGCTGCAGTAGCTGGAGTTTGTAAGGGTGCCATTTGTGAGTAGCTAATATCCGCAGAAAGGATGTTCGACTAATGCCACTCTCCAGTGACATGCGGCGAGTGCTACGCTGTGGACTCTTGCTGAATGAAGCTAGGACAGCCACTGATGTTTCTTCATTAGTGACAGTTTTCTTGCTTCCACATTTTGGCAAATCCAACACTGAACCAGTTCCACGAAACTTAGCAAGCAGTTTGCTAACTGTAGCATGGGAGATGGGTGGTCTCGTAGGGTGTCTTGCATTGAAATCTGCTGCAATGACCCGGTTACTGCGTTCACCAGATATCAACACAATTTCGATCCGCTCCTCACGTGTTAACCTCTTCGACATGTCAATGGCTGTGAACAAAGAGAAACTTGTAAATAACTCATGAAAGAATAAAGTTATGTTGAAACCAAGCACACCATTGTTTTTCTTGTGACATTACCAATAAGTTTGATGTGTCACATGGCCCTCTTCCTATTGAAAAAACAAAGGTTGTATCCAAGATGGCTGACTTCTAAATGGCCACCATGGTCACCACCCATCTTGAGGAGTTTGCCCCCTCACATATACTAATGTGCCACAAACAGGACCTTAATATCACCAACCATTCCCATTTTATTACGGCGTATCCATATAAATGGCCCACCCTGTATTACGTGTTGCTCTCTGCCACACAGACAGTTTAGCTATTTTTTCCCATACATTCATGCCTTTATTCCATCACAAGATCAGGTCCCATATGAATTCCTACCCTGGCCTGTCCCTCTCCACACCCTAAAGGAAAATATGTCCTCAATGCCATTTAGCAATGCCGTAGGACAACCCTGTTGCCACATGAAGTCACAATGTAAAGCCAGCAAGAAGCGCATACCATACTAAATGTAGTCAAGTCTAAGACTGGCCATCTGTCAGACAGCATCAAATTAAAAGGTGCAAATCCCAGAAAATGTTAAAATTGCTTTATCTATGCTCTCAGACATGTATCTCTGTTATTTACAACCTACTTGACAGGCTAATATTACATTATTTATTAAGCGTCTACTTTCAAGAAACACACTCCACCAATGTGAAAAGGCCTAATTAAAGTTGTTTCCATCAGCTTTTACATGTTTACTCATTTCCCAAGTTTCTAGTTCATGTTTTAAGATATGTACTTTTTGCATTTGTTTTCCTCCATTTGTCCTGATGCAGTGTAAATTAACTGTAGCTGCATGCTGCACTGAAAAAAGAAATCAAATAAAGCACTGATTCCATATTGCTATAGAAAAAACACTATCAGCTGTTTCGAAAGAAAAGATTAATAAGAAGTACTGTCTGAATTAACATGAACCTCATATGAGAATGTAGTTTAAGCCTTGAATTTTCCACCCCTATGCCCCTGCAGAATATCAGTTCAAACCTTCCAATTCTCAGCTTTTGTTCAGAGTCACATAAGTCCCCTAGTTCCAAGCTTGTTCCTTTCGCATCTTTTATCCCATCCAAATCTTAGTCCCCCCACCCCTCTATACTCCTGGATTTGGCCAAGAGTAGTGTATGTGTGTCGTGGAATCTGGAATGATGGACTAAACTCAGCTGGTTGTTTTTATTGTGGGGATGATCCCCCCCTTAACATAGTTACAGCTGTCAAATACGTCATGTTTTCTTTCTCCACGCCAAAGCTCAGCCCTTCTAAACTCCTTAATGGTAAGATAATATTGGTTGGAATGGGAGGCTGGAGGAAAAGTAGAGCACTCGAGAGACTTTGTGGGACCCTGAGGTCAGAAGGTGTGGCCTGCACACTGAGCATATAAAGACTGATAAATGTAAAGGTTCATGAAAAGGTCATTGCTAACAGAAAAATCAACTTCATACTGCACAATACATTTAACCTGGAATATCTAAGTTAATGTGTCTTCAAGGAGAAAATACAATAAAGAATGCCTGCAGCTTGCAAATATCTGGACTATTATGTGAGCTGTATTAACAAAACAACTGTGCATAAGAAAGTGACTCTCTCTCTCAGGCTTAGGGCGTCGGGGGGTTCCCCGGAGGCATCTTCCTTGGGGGGCTCAACCCGGGGTAGCGGTCATGTCCGGTTAGGGGCTCTGTTGGCTCTCAGGTGACTGTTTACTCGCGGCTGCGTGCAGCGGGGCTAGGGGAGGGTCTGTGCTGACGGACGTGGGTTACTGACCTGGTAGCCTGGCTGCCCCTGGGTGGGTCCGGGATGGGCGTGAGGTTCTGGGGGCGCTCCGTCTCTGGGCTGGGACCCGGACCGGGCCTCGGGGGCTTGGGTCCTGGTTGGTGTGTTGCCGGGGTTGTGGGAGGGTGGGTGCATGGGGGCCCAGCCCTGGAGCGGGGTGCCGCCGGTGCATCGAGCCACCTGGGGGGCTCTTCAACTGGTGGGGGAGATTGTCACATCTTGCAGGAGCTTTCCTCTCTTCAGGAGCTCCCTCTGCAGGAGGGGTGGAGGAAGATCTCAGCCTGGGTGTTTATTGTCTTATGTAGTCTGGAAGATGAGTGGATGGTGGGGTGGGTGCAGTTTTCTCTGTGGTGGGGTTGGGAGGACTGTCCCGGGCTCTGTGGGGCCGGGAGGCGCTGCTGCGCTGGGCCCCGGTCTGGATGGGCCTGGGCCCCCTTTCCCTGGCGGGTCGCGGAGTATGGGGGTGCCTACTGGGGTCAGCGGGGGAGCTGGCCCCAGGGAAGGGTCACTTGCCCCTCCCTTCCTTCCCTCCCCTCCCCATCTCCAGCTGCCTCCCTCTTCCCGCTCCACCACAACCACCCACACATGCAGGACCTTGGAGTAGGGGTATGTCACCAGGGTGCAGAGGAGGCTACCCCCCCCCCCCCCCCGTCCCCCGTCCCCTTCTGGCTGCCTCTGCCTCAATTTTATCCCACAACTTAGACATTCACATTACTCACACTCTCATTACACATACATATAGGGTCTTGGGGGTGGGCACGATACACGGAGTCCAAAGTACCATCAGGGTGTACACCCCACCCCTGGCATCGTTGCCCACCTCTCAATTTTAAATACACGTAGACATTGAGGGCTAGCAGGAGGGACCATGCGCTTACCTGCTGCTCTCTGGCAAGTAGCTCCAAGCCCTCCTGGGTTTTAAATGCACCTTAGAACACACATGCATCAACACTACAATGAGCGGGTGGAGGGAGGTTTGGAGTCTTCTCTCACCCCCATTCTCTGCGACCTGCTGGAGCGGGGGGGCTAGGAGGAGGAGTTGGCCGTCCGACTGCGGTCTGGAGTGTGGGGCCTTCCTGCTGCTGCAGAGTCGGGGCGGTCTGTCTCCCCCCACCGTAGGGAAAAGGGTAACACCACCTGGGTCTGGGTGCAGTTCCCCCCTCCAGGGGCAAGGGCACCTAGACCCGGTTTGTAGAGTACGCTTGGGGAGTGTGATCGTGTGTACAACGTCTCTTTATGTCTGTCTCCACGTTGGTTGAGTGTGGAGTAAGTGCATATGAGAGCATGAGGGTGGGAATGGATGTTGTATCTGTGTGTGCCTGTATGTCTGTGTCTATATGTCAGGTTGGGTGTCAGGCGCCACCTCTCTGGGGACATCTCAGGCCCTCCAAGGTTTGGAGGCCTATCTCCCCCTACCACCACTTCCCCTGCCAGTGGCGGTCCCCCTCGGACATCGGTGCGT